CCCTGGCTTTGGAGGTGAAAGACATGAAATCACCACCTACTCAGGTGATCGAGGAGGTCACGGGGCGTATCAGATCTGTTTCACCCACACCACGTCACGATCCTCTGACGGGGACGGCAGCGTTCTCCCCTCTGGGGTATATGCAGATACAGGGGACGCGGGAATACCGCAGGGTATACCCCTGATATCTATACCTGAGCAGAGTGCCAAAGGCACTGGAATTCGCCTGGTGTAACGACAAGAGAATAGTTGATTTTGTCAACTCGAGGTTCACTTGTTGTTTCCAGAAAGGACGATATGGCTGAGCACAGGCATCGAACTTGAGTTTAAAAGGGGGGCGAAACACGCTGATTGACGCAGTGGACACAATTTTGTCTGCAGATTGGTTTTGTTAGTCGTTTGAGGTTTGTTTTGTTGTTATATGTCTCTCAATGACGATGGCGAGAGCAACGTTCTTGAAGGCATTCAGAACTTGGAGTTGCTGACAGATCTGAGGGAGACATCATGAAGAAAAGTTGAAGTTGTTCTTGATTGGCTTGATTGTGGTATTTCTCATGTTTGAGTTTTTGTGTGCATGTCTTGAGTTTTGTTTCTTGAAACATGGAACTTGGTGTTGTGAGTGTTTTCACAAACATTTGGTATGATTGTGTTGTCATGGCACATGATGAGAACCTGGGAAGAAACTCGGACGGAATCTGAGTTTAAGTAATCTGAAAACCTTCCGGGGAATCTGATGCCATGATTGTAGACACATTGCACTGTCATGTCATGATATAGACTCAAACAAAACATACCACACCTCCGAGATCTTTAGGATGGATCAGACGTTGAAAGGGGGACGGCGATCTATGCGATGATGAAACTGTGAGAGTTGTTCTGTCCTAGAACGTCTCTCACCGCTTCCTCATTCCGTGCCAATCTTAGCTAGTCCTGACCCTGACTGTGAAAGATTTTCATTCAGAACATTTTGAATTTGTTGTGCAGTGACTGTGAACTGTACTTCACTTGTTTTGAATTTGGGATGAGTTGCATGAGTGATATTATTTCACTTGCGTTTTCTTTTCATACGCCTACCTTCTTCACGAAGGTGCGGATTAGCTGAAGCAGTTGGCCTTTGTTTTCGTGTTGACTCCGATCGTGCGACGTTAGGTTTCGTCTTGGGTCTCGTGTGTGTGTGTGTTTGTTTTGTTTTGTTTTGTTCTGTTGTTGTTTTGTGTGTTGTAGGAAGACAACAGCACTGTAGATATCGTTATCGACGCCATGGTTTATCCGAGGAACTGGATTTTGGAAGACGAGCTTAGTACTGGAAAGACTTTAGGAGTCTTTGGACTGAGTCTGGTATTCCAACATCTGGCTTTCGCAACAGAGAAGATTTTGAATTTGGAAGTTACTACATTATGCATGAATCGAACGAGATGAGTTTTGGATGATGCTTTATCATCTACCTTGCGTTTTGGAAGCACACGTGCTTCTTTGGATATCTTTTGATCATGGATATGATCTGGAACGTAAACATTTTATGCGGATATTCGATTGGTATCCGTATCTGGAAGTGAGGTGAGTGGATGAGATGTCATGTCGAAAGGGGGTATGGAAATTTGACACCCTATGGGAATACCCTTGGATAAGGGTGAAGCGACATGTCATTCATCATTGGTTGTATAGTTTGTGCACAGAGGATACGTGGAAGGTTACGGCAAGAAGTCATGGAAGATTGGTAGAGAACACTCTACTTATTGCGGAAGGAATCTTGTATGTGACCATCCTGTGTCACAATATTCTATTGGTCTTCGGACTTATTAAATTTCTGACATCAGGATGATGTCATTGATCAGTGTTGACCAGTGATTGTGGTATAGTGATCAGTTCTACATCTTATTCTGGATTCGACTTGAGTCTGGTACAGCTTATTGCTTGAGCTGAAGATACTTACATTGGTTTGACATTGAGATTATTTCTTGTGTCCACGACACTCCTGGACACTGAACATTGTAAAGCCCATTCTCTCCAAGTGATGAGAACACAGCTAGAAACTCTTGGAGAAGAGTTTAAGCTAGCTGGGAAATATCTGATGGAGAGAACCTACTATGCTTTGAGATTGGACCTTGAGATGCATTGGCATTGTGAGGACAATGGTCATATTTGGGCATCTTATTTGTCTGAGAGTTTTGTGATGAGATGTTTCGGTATTGTGAGGACAATACCTACATCATCGTCATCGTGACCTATGGATCATACACTTGATCTCATGGTGTGCTTCTTATCGTTCCTGAGATGACTTTGGTTATCTCTATGAGGACGACATTGCTTTGAGAAGAATTTGGTCTACATTGTGGATTGGCTATTACAGTGGTCGAAAGACTTCAGCGATACAACTGTATTTGGCTGACCTACATTGACAATGTCGAACAGAACATTCTATTCTACTTTGAGGTTGGAAGCTGTGAGATGCTATCTCTATGTGGAAAACTGATTTGGAGAAAGAACTTTGTGTTCTGACTATGTTTTGTATACAGAAGAAGGTTGTACAGACACCTTGTGTGAATCACTTCGTTCTTGAGAAGTTAGTCAGCTTGTGACTACTGAGCTGGTTATTCACGTTTGGATGAGAACCAGTTTGCTTTGAGAACTTTTGGAAGTGTTTCGATGGTTTTGAATTCATCTAGTGAAATTGAGTTTTGTAGACTTCTAGCAGCTGGAATAGTTTCAACAAACCTTTATTTGAAGAACTTGAGGTTTGTTAACTGGAAACCTGAAATTGAGTTTACCAGTTGAGACATCGGCTCGAAGGACTGGTGTCAGAGGTTCATTTAATGAACAAGAGCTGCTGTGTCACATAACTTGACATAAGACAGACCGACAGAGGGAACACCTTGCTCTTTTGTTCTTTGTTCCTCGTTGTGTTTTGTTTGTTTGTTGTGTTTGTGTTTCCCTTTGACTGATCGTGTTGCGTCTGGAGCGAAAAGAAGGAGCTTGACGTCAGCATGTGGGAGTCGAGGGAGAAACAATCCTTTTGACATGGTATTGCTTTAGTCTAATTAAGTTAGGGTCTTACGCGCTGCGCTTGTGTTTGGTGTGCGTGGTTGACGTACGCGTCCGCCCGCGTAGTTCTGTAGGAATTTTGGAAGAAGCGTTGGATCTGACCGCAGATCTGTGCACGGCGCTTTTTCTACATTTCATTGGTCTTTTCTTGATTGGAAGAAGTGAATTTGGTTTTCACCTTGATGGTGAGCTCAACCGTGATGGTTGACATCGTATTTGCACGTTTCATGTTTTGCACGTTTTATTGGAGATGACGAAACCCAACAACGATATATTTTTCGTCTTCTTTGAGTACTTTGATTGCACGGAGAACATTGTGAGGATTTGAATTTGTATAGTGACATGGAAAATCAAACCATTTTCCATACCTTTTGCGTTAGTTGTCGTCGACGAAGTGCACGAAGGAATCGTGAGAAGATCGTAGAATTCATTTTGTGACTTCGGAAGAAGGAACTTTGTTTGACATTGATCGGAGAAGTTTAGTTTGTTTTGTCTCTCAATGATGATAGCGAGAGCAACATTCTGAAAGGCATTCAGAACTGGAGTTGCTAACAGATCTGAGGGAGACATCATGAATCATGTTTTGGTGCTTGAAATGTTTCAACGTTTTTCAAACACTCAAACTTATTTAAACAAGCAAACCATGTCTTGATGTAAAGACTTTTTGTGAAGACATGTGTTTTTGATCGCTTTTGTGAAGTTGGCAGAAAGATGCTAACTGGCGACTCCGCATCATTTTGTGTCAAGGCGTGACACACCAACAAGAACCATAGCGACATGAGCAAGACATTTCTGTGCTTGTGTGTTTGGTAAAAGTGGCTGAGCTCTGGGAGTGTTGGACTTGGTTGCGTGGACGGTCTTTTAGTGTGTTAAGGACGACGTCCTGGACGCTGACCCAAGTAAGTCTAGAATTTTCGAAGGCTGTTGGCCTTGCGCATGGTAGCGGAGCTGCCTGCTTGCAGCTCGTAGAGGCGTAGTAGGAATGGATCCAGGTAGTGTGAGCCAAGGTGTACAAGGTTGTCCTAGTCCTGGTATGGCTGAAAGAGGTGAAGGAAGTGGTGGTTGTAACCGTGGTGACGGATTGCCACCTGGCACCGGAAATGGTGGTTGTAACCGTAGTGACGGATTGCCGCCAGTGCCTAGAACGCCTAGTCAGCAAGGTAGTGGATCTGGGATGGATGGACAAACACCTGAAGCAAGTAACATGCCCCAGCAGCAGCCACAGCAACAACAAGCAAATGTGTCACAGAACGTACAGGGATTTGCGAGCACGACAAACCTGGATGCAGGTGGTCAAGGAGGTCCGGTGCAGGGATGTCAACAAGGAAATGTCCCCGGAATGCATGGACAGGGACCAGCATGGTTTGGTGCGCAATAGATTCCCCAACAACAAACGTTTATGCAACAGAATTCGCAAGCGCGTGTGCCAAGTTATGGTTGTGCGAGTATGCCTGGTGGACCAAGGTCTGGAGATTTTCCAAACTTAGGAGTGAACCCAATGAGTTGCACTCGCGACTCGTTGCGATAGTGTATTAGTTAGTACTTGATGTTGATACTTCCGCTGAAGTATCCGGTGAAACATCTTTCCTTCCTCCTCTGGTAATCTTCACATCACTTTTGTGTAGTGATTTCGGTTACCTCCTTTATCTACGCGTAACGCGATTTCTTCTGGGTTGGTTTACGTCTCACGCGAAACCCGGTAACTCGGAAGTAAATCTAAACTGGTTGAAAAACAATTGCCAAACAAAACCATGTTGTCCAAAACAGGTTTTTCGGAATTGACATTTGACGGAATCTTCAATGTCAAACCTGTGCAATTGTTCAATCATCTCAATTTGGAATTTATGGACAGTATATGAATTTATACTTATATGGTGGCCAGTAAGTGGACCAAACAGGGTTGGAGACCAAAGTGTCTTGTGGGATGCGGCTGTAGCCCCGGCTTACTCGTAATCCCGATGGAGTCAGATGCCCTGGAGAGAGACATGTGGAATGTCTTACTGAGATATGGTTTGGACAGGAGAAAACTTGCAGTTTTCAGTTCAGATGAAGCATCAGCGATTGCACATCAGATTTGCGATGATCTGGGTCTTATTTGTGAGCATGTTCATGAGGAGATTGTTTCAGGCTGGTTAGGTACTGTTTCTCAGTCGGAGCCTTATCAGAAACGTCTACGTGGAGAACATCAGCATGACCCTTTGCATGTTGGAAGCATTTTGCAGTCCAGTTTCACAAGGAAATCAACAGCGACAGGTTTGACCGGTGCCTTAGGCAGCTCAAACAGTGATGCAAGTTGGGTTCCGATTAGTAGGAGACAAAGGGTTACTGCTGAGCAGACGTTGGCAAAACATAACCATGAGGAGACTCAGAAGGAGAAATGGGCAAAGGAACTCTATTTGGAACTGTTAAAAATTAATGCACCTGTTTTGAATGGTATGGAAGTTTGTGTTAATCAGGAACGCATTCATGTGGCTATAGCTGGCAAGACACGTGCAAGCACTTTGAAGCGTTACGTCAAGGCTTGGAAGGACTGGCAGTCATGGAAGCATTTGACATGGGGAGCTGATTCTTTTGTACACCCTGGCATGTTCTGTGAATACCTTTTTACACGTTTCGATGAACCCTGTGGTGCCACTATTCCAAATTTCATTTGCAAAGCAGTTGCATGGTTTGAGAAAACAGCTGGTTTGCCGGAGTCAGAAGTTGTTGCAACTACAAAGGCAGTTTGTCAGATCAGGGATTACATAACTGAGAAGTTGGCAGCAGACACCCCGCCCATCAGAAGGGCTCCACGGTATCCGGCAGTGGCAGTCGAGTCCTTGGAGATGGCTGTCATGGACACGGAACAGACAGTTGGATTCAGGGTCATTGCATGGGTGAAATTGTTGAAGATTTGGGGGGCACTTCGTTTTGATGATATGCAGAAAATCAAACCTGCTGAACTTCATTTTACAGGTGAGAGACTTACGACAACACTCAGGGTAACAAAGACGTCAGGGCCTGGGAAGAGAGTACAGGAGTTGCCAGTCTGTATCTCAGAGAAGGCTTTCATCTGGGACAAATCTTGGATCTATACTGGATTTCAGTTGTTGAAGCAGCATGCGGGTTTTGAGAGGGACTATCTTTTGCCGAAGCTGACAGACAACTGGGCTGGTTTTCAGCGCAAGTTTGCAACATATCAGGATGTCACTTCATATTCATGCCGTTTGAGAAAGAATCTGGTAGGACTGTATGATTTCAGTCCTGTTTTCCCTGAAGAACTGGCGTCTTTTTGGACGGAACACAGCGAGAGGGCAACACTGCCTACAGCCTTGGCTATGCTTGGAGTCGAGACCTCAAAGCGTGATCTGGTAGGCAGATGGAAACCAGATGCAAGTGATACATATGTGCGGTCATACAATGGTTTGGTGTCTCAACTTCAAGGATTGTATGGAAAAGCAATGAGGAAACCACATCGTTTTAAAACTCTGGATGAAATTGATGTAGCAGAGAGTGCAGATGCATGGCTTCGGAACAGAAAAACGGAGATTGCTGAAGAGGAGCGCAGTGAACTGGTCAGCAAGTTAATGTTGGCAATGGATTCTTTTGCATCAGATGGCACCTGGGAGCATCCAGCAGAACAACCTCCTGAAGGAACCGAGGGGGACGTCTTGGAAGAGGTTCAGGACGAGGGCCATACAGAAGATACAAAGACATGCAGAGTCAGTGGTTTCATAGTTGTCACAACTGCAAAGAACTGCAAGAGGTTACACAAAGCTGTGAATGGTTGTTGGATGGCAAGAGAGAGAATCTTCAAAGAGTCGGTGGAGTTTGAGAACAGACCGCAGGATTCAGAATATACACATGTCTGCAGGGTTTGTTGGCCGAAAGACAAGAACGCAGATGACAGTTCTGGTGAGACATCATCAGATACATCGACGTCATCCAGCAGCAGCGATTCCAGTTGATGCAGTGCTCTCAGTTTGTTGAACTTCTCTTTGTGGCATGTTTGAAACATGGTCTTCTCACAAGGGCTTCACATATATCGTTAACCCAAAATGGGTTTAGCGGTCGAATAGACCACCGGGCGGAGAAAATAAAAGATCCGATGGATCTGATTCAATGCAGTGTGTCCTAAACTTGTCAAGATCGGCAGAAGCATCATCTTGACCGGAACTTGTTAGGGCACACAACATGGAACATCAAAATTGCCTCCGGAATAGAGGCAACAGGAAAAGCCAAAGGAATCCGCAGATTCCCGGTATCTTTTGGCTTCAAAGAAGTGAGAGGGTCAGACGTTTGAGTTTGACTTATCTTGCATGTTATTACTTGACTGGATAGGATTTTGTTTTGAGCGGTTTAGTTCAGGATAGTTGGAATCCACAAATGATATATATAAGTTCACAATATTTGAGCAGAAGCTGGACAAGTGGAACGACATTTCAATGAAATCTTGAGATTTTTCTTTTGCACCGCGCACTGGGCACTCCTAGCGCAACCATGGCTGCTCCACCGATGGGGCCTCGCACACTGGCTGACGCCCTGAAATTGGGCAGCTCTGACTTGAGATTTACATTGGGCAGAAACGATGTTCCAGATACAGTTCAGGCGCATTTCTTCGAGAATGGTGTGGTGACGGTGAACAAATTTTCATCCTTTTTCAGGGATGAGCAGGATTTGATAGAGGTTTTGCGCACCGAGTTCAACATCGATGCAGCAGCTTCACTGGCAGAAAGGGCACAGGTGGCATCGGTTATTTGCTCATGGAAAGATACTCTTACAAAAGCCAAGCGACAAGCGGAGGTGGAAGCTGAGATGAGTACAAGGGAATGGACTAAACCCATTCCAGTGGGAGACTACGTCCAACTCAGGAATTTCTTCCAAACAACTGTTGGACACGTGGAAGATCGAGTCATGCCTTCGAAAGAATACCTTGAGAAAAAGCTGCAAGAACTGGAAAATGGTGAATTTCGTGCAGAGACGCTTGCAGAAGTGGTTTCAAAGGATGAAATCGACCCGGACGTTTTAGTCCCGATCTTCGACAGCAAAGGAAGCCTTTCAGTCAAGAAAGGAAGCACCAATGTACCGCTTCCGACAGGGCCAGAGCAGCTTCGCAGGAGGCTAAACGTGATGCAGAACTGTTTGATGATGTTGGCTCTCAAGCATGTGAATAGAGAAGAGATACAAGATGTTAGCAAAGAGGTCTTCGATAAGTACAAAGACTACATCTTGGGCGACTATGTTTGGGGGCTCAGCTCAACGGATCTGAATGGTCAACAGATTCAGACGCCACCATGGAGCCTGGTATTATCATATGAGCATGCAATCAGAAAGCGGGCCTACACGTTGATGCAGACGGAGAGGCTCATGATTGGGGCGGCTTTGGAAAAGGCATGGAAATGCCCTACCACGAAAGAGCGGCATTTCATTACACTGTTGGCACTGTATTCAAAGAGATCATACACCCCGGGTACAAGCTCAACAAGCCCAGGGACATGGAACCCGAAAGGAAAAGGAAAAGGCAAGAGCAAGACAAAGGGTCCACAGAAAGGATCTGGACAGAGTCCCAATGGTGAGAAGATATGCTACAGGTTCAATGCGGGCAAGTGCAGTTATCAGAAGTGCAAGTTTGCGCACCTTTGCAGCAAATGTTTTGCAAAGGGCCACAACGCGTTGAATTGCAAGGAGAAGCCAACGCCTGATACTACAGGCAACTGACTCGGGCCTACAGATGGAGTCAAGGTTTCACATAATACAGATGTTTGCAGGGTCCTGTACTTGTTTTCAGGTATTGCCCGGAAGGGCTCAGTGGCTGCATGGACGAAAAAGCTCTCCGCAAAGTGGGGAGTAAAAGTACAGATAGACATGGTGGATATCAGAGTGAGGCCGCATTTGGATCTGACAAAAGCTTCAGTACAGAAGGAACTGTTAAACAAGATTTCATCTGGTTTCTATGCTGCAATCATTTTGAGTCCACCGTGTTCAACTTTCACCAGAGCTACCTTTTCGAATCGAAGAGGACCCAGGCCAGTGCGATCCTATGTTCACTTGCGAGGACACTTGCGTTTGACTTGGACGGAAAGGAGAAAAGCAAACTGGGGAAATTCAATGACAGATTTTTCTTTTCAGGTATGCAAGTTGGTACAAGACATGGATACAATTGTCATTTTTGAGAATCCGGAGGATCTAGGTGCGGTTCAGGTTGGTCCATATGCAGGACAACGACCAGCGAGCATGTGGCAGTGGCCTTTGTTTTTACAGTTGATTGAGTCTGGAAAGTTTCAAACATGTGCTTTTTACCAATCTGACTATGGAACTGAATGCCTGAAACCGACACGCTTGTTGTTGAAAGGTTTGCACATGGATGAAAAATGCATGAAACCTGGCCTGCCGTGTTTTGACGAGCAGGGTTTCTATCAAGGACCGTTGGAACGGAGACAAGCAACAGTGCGTTTGATTGGACATCAGGGGGTAAATTTACTACTACGGGTACAGAGCAATGGCCAAGCAGTTTTTGTAAATGGGTGGCAACACAAATTTTGACTGTTTGGAGTTCCCTCCACACCATTTCTGCCTGCGGTGGGGGATCAGAATGCATGAACGGTGTGGAGGAAAAGGTTGGAGCTGAAAGTTTTCCAGTTATGCAACCGGAGGGTTGGAAGCTGAATGGGGGTCATGGGGAGCCGAGACAATGCAAGGTGCCTGGAAAGACTAGGATGTTTCATGATGGCAGTGGTTTAGCCTCACCTGGAAGGTGGGACCTGGAGAAACGTGTTTGGAATAGAATAGGGATAATTTTTGGAACAGTTTGAGAGAGGATTCATACAACTTGGTTCTACAACACTGTGGGGGGCAACAGAACTTTGACCGAATCTGTTTTGAGATGGCGGCAAAAGGTGAAGAGGGCTGTAAACTGGTGAAAAACGATGCCTTGTCATCCCAACTGGTACAATTGTGGTGCGACAGACTTCATGGAGAAGGTTACAACACAGAGAACATTCAACATGTTGCGGAAGGGCAGCCCTTCAAATTGCGACTGATGGAAGCCTTACTGGATAGGGCTGGGGACCCTGACCACAAATTTCTTCTGCAGGGAGAAAGCGGCTATCCGGTTGGGGTGTTACATCCCCTACCAAGGACGCCACATATGTACGAGGAGCAGACTTCATGGAAGCTGGAAGATGACCCCTATATGAAAGCAGAGATATGGAGAAACAACTACGATTCGGTGGGTGACCATGAAGAATTTGTAAGGGAACATTTTGCAGAAGAGTGCAAAGAAGGCTTGATGGAGAAACTAACTTTGGAACAAGCACATGAGAGGTTTGGTTCGAAGGTGGCAATTTCTTCGCTTGCAGTCTTGGTGGAGGAATCTCATGGAAATAAGAAACGCATCATCCACGATGCGACACACGGGACGAAGGTGAACAATCGTATCCGTTGCAGGGATAAACAAAGGAGTCCTGGAGCTAGGGAGAAGATGTATTTGCTTGCGTATTACAAAGCAAGGGGTGACATTGTTTTCAGTCTGGTTGGGGATATCAGCAAAGCTCACCGACGTTTCCTACACGAACCTTCTGAATGCGGGCTCTTGGCATGCAGGGTCAAGAACGATGATCCTTTTATCTTCATCAACAAGGTTGGAACCTTTGGCGTAGCATCAGCAAGTTACTGGTGGGGAAGGATAGCGGCGTCTGGTATCCGCTTGACCCACGAATTGCTTGGACCAGAGCGGCCTATTGAGATGCTCATTTTCGCTGATGATTTGGAATCGCTTGGAGCTGGGATACAAGGTAGAAGGGGCATAGTGTTATCCTATTTGTATCTTGCAACTATGGGCTTTCCTTTCAAATGGAGCAAACAACGGGGTGGCTTGAAGGTGGAATGGATCGGTCTTTTTACCGATTACACTACAATGAGATTGGGCCTGTCCGAAAGCAGAGCGGCTTGGATGGAAAATTGGACAAGAAAGATGGCTCAGACAGGTCGCACAACATCAAAGGAGATGGAACAAGGACTTGGCCGATTGGGCTTCGCAGCGAACGCCTTGACATGGGAGAGGCCCTTCTTGGGGCCATTATATGCCTGGTCTGCAGCAGTGAGGACAAAGAAAGGCCTCTTGAAGATACCGGCAATGTTACGTACAATTTTTTGGTTTCTGCTTTATGTCAGCTTGCTGATATTTGTTTATAGTCTAATGGACAGCGATGAAAGAGCGTCTCTTCAAAAAAAAATGTTTTGAACGTCAAACCGTTCTTTGTGCATGTTGCGCAAGTGATGGATGGTGTCATTTTACATTTATCATTTGTGCATGTTTCAATATATGTTGCAATGAACATGTTTGGTATGTACATGGTGCATTACATGTTGTGATGTCAAAAAAAAACCTTGAAATGTCGATTGAATATTTGCAGCGTGCAACACTTATTATCAAGAAAGAGGTGGGTGGGCGGGAGCTCACAAAATTGTGGGTGTATAGTTTAGTTTTATGAGAGCCCGCTTTCGCGCTGTGCCCAGTGCTGTGAAGGGCCGTGAGGCCTTGATTGAGTCCAATTCAGGACATCGCTGCTCTGTGAGTTATTCAATTTTGTGCTGGGGCTGCGTGTGTTTTTGCACTGGATTCATAGCTTGTTTTGCGTGGCTTTTATATGGAACCCTCATTTGATCGTGCCATTCTGCTTCATCAGTGGCATTCTGTGCAAGTGAACTCCGCTGCAGACCTTCTTCGGTGGGAAGCCGGGTCATTTAACCAAACCATTCCAACCATTTGTTGGCAGTTGGGCAGCCTTGAGTCTAATCTGGTGGTATACGAATTTTTGGATTTGCAATCAACCTTGTGTTTACGTGCTGCTTGTTTTGGGTGGGCCATTGAATTGTACGACAATCTGGAAGAGCATCAGGTTTTGTGCATTGCTCGTGCCAGGGGCATCTCAACTGCCACCTACTACAGCACGTTGGTAGCAGATCCACCTGTTCAGATTTGACATGGCTGCGTCAGGTTCTGGTCATCTAAAGCGGACTGGGGGTTTTGACACAGACTCATCCACAGTGAGCAAGTTTTGTTATGAGCAACATCTCAGGCACGTTTGGACAACAAATCATGCATCGACTTTTAAGATGCCATGGGAGCTTAGCTTGAACACACCCTGGGATGCTTGTAAGAAACTACGTACAAGCGGTTTTGACCTGCATGGACCTCTGCCGCCTGTTCCAGTCAGTGCGAATGTCTGCAACTCAGATGAAGGTGCTGATGAAATTTTGTCTTTCAAACAAATTGGAGTCAAAGCCGTAAAGAATGCTGATTCACGTTTGTGGGCAGACAAGCTCTCTTGGGAGCGCAAATGTGCGTATAAGAAGTGGGTTGGCATCATTTTGTGGCAGGTCAGCGCTTTTGACATTGCAAGGCAACAGGTCACTTGCCACACCATGGAGTTTGCCAGAGGTGGTTTGCTGGAGTCTGTGAAGGACTCTTTGGGAACGAAGGCTTCAGCCACACTGCACTCAAGGGCTGGACCTATTTTGCAATACATACAGTTTTGTGAGGACCGTGGCATTCAAGCATTTCCACTGGTTGAACCCATTGTGTATGACTATGTGAAGTCATGTGAATCGAAGGCTGCAACATATGCTAGATCATTCTTGCTGGCGTTGAGTTTTACCAATTTCCATTTTGGGCTCACTGGGACCGTGAGCATCATGAGTTCAGGGCGTATCAAAGGACTGGTCAATACGATGTATGCAAAGAAGAGGAAGTTAATGCAACGTCCTCCTCTTACTGTCAGTCAAATCGTCCACCTAGAGGACATTGTGGTCAACAGCCACAAGACTGAGTACGACCGTGTAGCGGCTGGGTTCTTTCTCTTCGTTTTGATGGGGAGGCTTCGTTTCAGCGATGGTCAACAGGTTTGCCAGTTACAGCTTGATCAACAACCGGATGGTTTTGGGTTTGTAGAGGCGGTTGCAGCCAAAACCAAGACGTCAGTGTCGTTGGAGAGAAAGACACGGCATCTACCAGTAGCTGTGCCGCTGATCCCATTCGGAGATCAACAGTGGCTGCCAACTTGGCTGGAACTGAGAAAGAAAATTTTTGGAAATTTGGCCAACAGCAAGGATGATTTCATTCCTCTCCTTCCTGCTCCTGCTGCAAATGGGTCCTGGTCCAAGATGCCCTTATCTGTGACCTCAGGCGCCAATTGGTTGAGGAGTTTGCTCCATGACACTTTGGATCCTCGTGGAACGCCCGTGGGCACACACAGTTTGAAAGCAAGCTTGCTTTCCATGGCGGCGAAGTACGGGTTGCCTCACTCTCAGCGCAAGTTGCTGGGATACCATGCTGGCAGCAAAGAGCAGAGCATGCTGTGCTACTCCAGGGATAGCATGGCAGAACCCCTTCGTCAAATGTGTGAGATGATACGGGCTGTGAAGAACAAAGCTTTCTTACCAGACTGTTCACGTTCAGGCCGTTTTCCTTTGAAAGAACTTGGTGAGGAGGTCATCGAAGGGGATGAATTGAGTGATTCATCTTCCTCCGGTTCGGAGAATGAGGAGGAGACCCATCACGAAAGTGAGGAGAGTGCTTGTGAGAAGCTCTTGGGCCAATGGCAGCCCGCCACTGTCGAGCCGATGGAAGAAAAGGTCTTTGTGAGGCACCGCATTTCCAGGTGCATCCATGCATTGGCTGATGAGACAGGACTGGAGTTTGTATGTGGCAGGCGAATGTCACAGTCATACGACGTGTTGGAGCCCAAGCCTTCCTTTTGTCACCCTGTGTGCCAAACATGTTTCAGAGACAGGGCCACCTGAGCCTTCCGAGATCGCGGTGAAGGAAAAAGGCAGGAGGTGTTCCTGCATGAGATGTTGAAAGTGGCACTGCAAGTTGCGGTGTCAAAGTGTGAACACAGCATGATGTGCGTTCGACAAGTTGTTGAGCGGTGTGTAGAAAGTGGACTCAATGTTTGAGCGCCGAAAAATTTCAGAGCTGTGCTCAAACTTTTCATGGAACACATGTTGAAACCAGAGAAGTGAACAGTTGGTTTGCATGATTTTATTTAGCAGTTTGTTCAAAGCGTCCAGAACCTTTTTCATGACAGATTGTGTTTACATGTTGGGCGAGTTTGCACGAGTTCATGGGCCTGAAATACATAACCTACTTCTAGGGTTTTCATCCTGCCTCCTCGGAACCATGAGCTACGGTGACAGCAAGGCAGTTTTCAGAAGGAGATGCGAAGAGATTGGTTTTACTGCAGAAGTTGTCGAGTTGATTGTCAACCATGGACTGGACACCATGGCAAAGTTTGCATTTTCTTGCAATTTTTCACCTGGGAGTTCAGACGAGTCGCCCCTCATCCAGCTGTCTAAGGAGATATTTAAGCGGGCGCCTTCAACTGTTGAGATGTCATGTGTCAGACGCTTGTTTAGTGAAAGTTACGCAAACATAGCAGCAGATATCAAGAATTCAGTTGAGGCGACAGATGACATGCCCACAAGGAAACTTGCTCCAGCTGAGAGGGCAGAACGGTTGCGTGTTCAACAACGACAACTGGCAGGCATCAACATTTCTGGACCTTATGAACCAGGAGATGCGTTGGTGGATCGTTGCATCGCAATTTATGATGCTGACAGGATTCAATTCATTCCTTGGGACATTTGTACGAGTCGCGAACATGAAATATTGCATGGATCAAAACGTGACCAAACCTTGACGTTTGACTCGACAGGTGCCCTCAAGTTACACAAGCAGGCACGCGTTGAGCCGTGCAGCACTGCCTCTGAGATTCAGGTGCGATATTGCCTAACCAGGCGTGCTTTGGCGATGGAACAAGCCAACATTGTCAGTTTCCAAAACATGGAAGCATGGTCTGAAAAGATGATGCAAGCAAGGCTTGAGGAACCACCGGCTAATTACGTGAAAACTTCAATGAAACAGCTTGAATCTGCAGATCGAAAATTGTTTCTCCTGATCAGCGAGAAGACCCGAGAAGGCATCAAGTGCAATGCTCAAGGCCGTCCCATTGACGCCGTCTTCAAGCAGTGCATGGAGAGCTCAGAGGTGTTGTCATTGCTGCAACCGAGACCTGGAGGAGGCGGGCCAACAACCAGGCCATCAGAGGGCCCTGCGGCAGGTGAACCGCCTGCCAAAAGAATCAAAGGCGGGGGAAAGGCCCGAGGAAAGAGTTTCAGTAAATTTCAGGGCACAACAGATTCATTTGTCCGCATCCCGAAAGAGCTGCTGTCGCTTGGATCAGTGGCTGCAACTCCAAAAGGACATCGGCTGTGTTTCTCATACAACTTGAAATCTTGCAGCAATCCAGTTGATAAGCAAAGATGTTCAAAGGGTCTTCATGCATGTGCGGTGAAGGGATGCCATGGACAACACCCAGCGGTTGAGTGCACACGTGCCAAGCGGGAGTGACTACACCCCCCAAATGAGCATGCTGAACAGGACTCAGATAGCCCTGTGAATTCAAATTTTCCGACAGTCTCCGAGCAGTCAGCACCGGATCCTCCCCAAGGTCAAAGCCGTGAACGGAGCGAAGTTTTTGCTGGCTTAATGGATTCTTTACAGGTCCCGAAGGGGGACGTCTGTGCCTTTCTTTGTTGAATTATGTGCAGGCAGCGCCAAGTTGTCAGACGCTGTCAAACAACATGGATACCATATCATTGCCGTTGATCATGACAAGAATCGCCACGCCCCACGCTGCAAGATCATACAACTGGATTTGTCACATGAACATGCGTGGGACATGCTTGACTTTTCGCTGGAGAGAGTAACAATTTCGGGCGTCCACATAGCGCCACCTTGTGGCACATGTTCCAAAGCCAGAGGCATCCCCATGAAGGATGGAACAAAGGGACCTCAGCCACTTAGATCGGCTGATTTTCCGTTGGGACTTCCACATTTGTCTCAACGTGACCAACAGAGAGTTTTTCTGGCAAATCAAATTTACAAATTTTGTGGATTGTACGTGCAGAAGTTGCATCAAGCTGGGATTCCATGGACGATAGAAAATCCAACAAATTCACTGATGTGGGATTTGGAATTTTTCACATGGGCCGTGGCCAATGGTATTTTTGTCAACATGCACGCATGCGCCTATGGCTCAGCGAGGAAAAAGCTCACATCATTTCTCTGCAGTCACCGTGAATTTGCCGCCTTAGAGTTGTATTGCGATGGTCAACATGAACACCTTCCATGGGGCATTGCAGAGGATGGAGCTTTTAGCACTTCGCATGAAGCCGAGTATCCCAAAGCTTTATGTGTCAGATATGCCGAAATTTTTCATGAACTGTGCCGTGCCCGCGGCATTGTGCCAGTACAGCAGGCAAGCGACGAAGTGCAAAAGCTGGCGCCCAATCAACAGCCCAAAGGTCGCAAGCTGCCGCAGTTGATACCCGAGTTTTCTTTTACAAAAACAATGCAAGTGGACAAGCTGCCCCAGGTTGACCACAAAGGTTGCTTACTTCATCACATGCAAGGAGTTCCTGCCGGCAGCAAACTGTTGAGAACTGAAGCGAAAAGGGGATCAACTCTTTGTGTTTTTGGTGTGTACCGTTCTTTTGCTGAATTTACACATGTTGCAAAACTGTTATGGCATCCATATGATGAGCTGAAGAACTTGCCCGGAGATTTAATACGAGTTCTTTTCCAACACTTGAGTCAAGCACCAGACGTAGTGACACGAAGTCGCATCAAGATTTTGTCTGAATGGGCGAGTCGTGCGAAAGCCCTGAATGCTTTGGAAGAACAGTTGAAGCTTGACATGGATGCCGACGTTGCAAAAATCATGGCGCCCAAGCGCGTTCTCCTCATGCGATCCATTGCAATGGACATGAGCTGGCCAGACATGGGGCTCTTTGACGAGTTCACTGAAGGTTTCAAAATAGTAGGCCCTGTGTCTGAATCCGGAGTTTTCAAGCCTGGTGTCACTTTGGCTCAGATGTCCCCCCAGCAGTTAAGGGACAAAACAAAGTTTTTGAAGCCCATGATACTTGGGAGAGCCAAGCTTGGAGATGGGAACGAGCTGCAACAGCAACTGTACGATACAACTGTTGAGGAGACCCAGAATAAAAACTGGCTTGAAGGCCCATTCTCCCCCGAGGAGATCGAATCTAAGCTGGGAAGGGAGTGGTTGCCTGTAAGGCGCTTTGCAGTGCTGCAGCGTGAGAAGCTGCGGCCCATCGACGATTTCAAGGAGAATCAGGTGAATCAGACATTTGCAAGCACGGAAAAGTTGGAGTTAAGGACAATGGACCATACGCTGTGGTCCCTCTTCACCATTCTGAAATTTCTTCTTTTCGATGGGCGGCTTGACTTCACCCTGGAATCAGGGGAACGCTTGACTGGAGAAGTGCGCCATGCATGGAAAGGTGTGGAGCCGAACTTCAAGGCATCTTGCATTGACTTAAAGTCTGCGTACAAACAATTCCCTTTGCATGAGGAAAATCACAAGGACGCAGTGGTGACACTGTGGAACCCTCCCAAGAGGAGGGTAGACTGCTTCATCATGAAGGTGCTGCCGTTTGGAGCCACAGCCAGTGTACATCATTTTCTTAGAGTCAGCGCTTTCCTGCAGGCAATTGGAAGATTCATGGGTTTGATTTGGTCGGCATTTTTCGACGACTTTGTCGTACTCAGCCATGCAATGCACGAGGCCAGCACCATGACATCGGCCTTGACTCTTCTTGACTTGTTGGGTTTTCAGTATAGCAAGGACAAGCTGCAGCCCTTCAGTGACAAAACAGAGATGCTGGGAGTGGAGCTCAATTTGGTTGATGGGAAGAACGGCATTGTCGAAGTCAGGAACAAGGCTTCGCGAGCGAATGAGCTGTGCGATGTTTTGGATCGAATCCTGCAGTCTAAGAAAGTGGTAGTCAAGGAACTTCCATCAACCTTGGGCAAGCTTCAATTTGCGGAAGGTCAACTATGGGGAAGAACTGGACGGCTGGCGTTGTCCGAACTAAGGAGGCATGAGAAGTCGGGGTGCGCTGAAGCATTGCTGGATCAGCGTAGCATCGACGCTGCACACATGTTGTTTGAGAAGATGAAAAACGGAAAGCCTCGGACAATTCGCATCACTCCGAGATCAAAACCTTTCTTGCTTTTCACTGATGGGGCGTTGGAATACGAATCTTCTGGAAAACCAACAGCTGGCATAGGAGCCGTACTGTTGTGTCCTGATGGGAGACAACTTGTGTTTGGAACCAAGGTTGAAGACGAAACACTGAAGCGGTGGCAGGTTGATGGAAAATCTCATGTGGTTGGTTTGGTAGAACTTTATGCAGCGGTCACCGCTTTCAATACCTGGGCTGACATTCTGCAAGACCAGCGTTTGATTTGCTTCACCGACAGTTGGCCGGTGCTTGATGCTTTGGTGAAAGGAAATTCTCCCGTTGATGAATGGCGGGACCTTCTTTTGATTTTTGAAAATTTGGATGAACGAATCAATTCAATGTTGTGGATGGCTCGAGTTGCGTCCAAGTCTAATCCTGCGGATGCCCCAAGCAGGTTTTCTTTGAGAGAATTGAGTTTTCTTGAGAGACTGCAGATTTCAGAAGCAGTATGTCCAATCAAAGGTGTCAAGCTGAAATCCTACGTGGCATGTAGCTGAAGCGGAAAGGGGAATGGTCCAAAGTTTGGATCGATGTGCAATGATGGGGTGTCCATCCTTTTTGTTTTGCATATGACAAAAGAAAGTCAAACGTGTGAATGCGTGAACATGAAATATGTTCAACAGATTTCCCCATTCTGCTTTGCGAGAAAAAGTCCGAGTGAGCCACCTGCATTCAGTCAAAAAAAAACAGTGTGAACACTCGTGCATCTTGGCGATCTCACTCGTTGCGGCGTATGAAATGTTTGAACATATTGATATGTATATATGTTATTATATGTTTAGATATATATACGTGATGTATATATAATGAGCTTTTATGTTTTACGTTTGTGTCTTTGGCGTATATGCGTACATGACTTACTCATATACGTTCACCTCGAAAGGTCAGGTGCAAACCCTTTTATGTTTAGGATTTTAATTTGAAGAGATCCATGTATGACTATAAGCTTTATGTCAGCTTGCTGATATTTGTTTATAGTCTAATGGACAGCGATGAAAGAGCGTCTCTTCAAAAAAAAAATGTTTTGAACGTCAAACCGTTCTTTGTGCATGTTGCGCAAGTGATGGATGTTGTCATTTTACATGTATCATTTGTGCATGTTTCAATATATGTTGCAATGAACATGTTTGGTATGTACATGGTGCATTACATGTTGTGATGTCAAAAAAAACCTTGAAATGTCGATTGAATATTTGCAGCGTGCAACACTTATTATCAAGAAAGAGGTGGGTGGGCGGGAGCTCACAAAATTGTGGGTGTATAGTTTAGTTTTACCCTCCCAACTTCGTTTCCCACCCAATGTTTTCTTCCCCAATTTTGTTCGGGGGGGGGAATGGTCCAAAGTTTGGATCGATGTGCAATGATGGGGTGTCCATCCTTTTTGTTTTGCATATGACAAAAGAAAGTCAAACGTGTGAATGCGTGAACATGAAATATGTTCAACAGATTTCCCCATTCTGCTTTGCGAGAAAAAGTCCGAGTGAGCCACCTGCATTCAGTCAAAAAAAACAGTGTGAACACTCGTGCATCTTGGCGATCTCACTCGTTGCGGCGTATGAAATGTTTGAACATATTGATATGTATATATGTTATTATATGTTTAGATATATATACGTGATGTATATATAATGAGCTTTTATGTTTTACGTTTGTGTCTTTGGCGTATATGCGTACATGACTTACTCATATACGTTCACCTCGAAAGGTCAGGTGCAAACCCTTTTATGTTTAGGATTTTAATTTGAAGAGATCCATGTATGACTATAAGGCTAAAAGAACTCGAGATGGGGGCAGCCTACAAGAGCCAACTCCCATCCGAACTGATAATGAAGCAGATCTCGTTTTCTTTACAGATGCAAAGGCTACAGAGCAGGGTGCTTGGATAGGAGGCTTCTTGCAATCAAAGGAAGGTAGCATAATTTCGTGGTTCTCAGAAGAGGTGCAAGAAAGCTGGGCACCGTGGCTTTTTGTTCGTAAAGACCCAAAACGGGTAATAGCAGCTTTGGAACTATTGGCTACGTTGGTGGCTGTCAGACTTTGGGCAAATGGACTACAGAGAGGTGGCAAGGGCCGGTGTTGGGTGAGAGCTGGTACAGATAACCAAGGAAATTCTTATGCAGTCAGCCGGTTGATGAGTACAAAATATCCACTCACGGTGCTGATCATGGAGCTCTCAGAGACCCTTCGTGCCCGGAATTGCGAACTAGATCTTCAATGGATTCCGAGAGAGAAAAACCAACTTGCAGACGATTTGACAAATCAGGTTTTCACGAAATTTCCCATGGATTGCCGTGTGCAGTTTGTTGGTGGGGACACCAAATGGTTGGTCCTCAGTGAACTTATGGAAAAGGCCAATGAGTTTCACATGGAGCTGGCAGCGGAGAAGAAACGTAAGGTCGCCGAGCTGGTAAAGACAAGGAAGGCCAAAAAGCAAAAGCTTTTGGAGCCGTGGTGACTTCCCTCGTTGACCAATGGGATGTGGAGATTGCTCGGAAAATCACACCGGAACAATTTACTTTGATGTGAAAGCATATCTCCAACAGGTCTTGGGAACACCAACCTTGAATAAAGAGCCAAAGCGCGAAAAAGAATTGCTGCGTGAGTGATCGGCACCTTGTTTCATCTGTCATTCGTTTTGCAGAGGTTTTTACATGTCATGAAATCGGATTTGGCGGAACGGCGATTTTTATTTGGAAGAAAAATTTTTGGACCTCGAATGAGGAATCAGAGTTGAGAAAGGAAGACGAACATTCGACGGCGCGTATCACGATTCTTTATGTATGTATACGGATATACATGTTGAACTATGTATATGGGGTATTTGGTTTATACATACTGGTTTATAGATGGGAGGGTTTTGGGAGGATATGTATAGTACTATACTAGTACGCACTCGCGACTCGTTGCGATAGTGTATTAGTTAGTACTTGATGTTGATACTTCCGCTGAAGTATCCGGTGAAACATCTTTCCTTCCTCCTCTGGTAATCTTCACATCACTTTTGTGTAGTGATTTCGGTTACCTCCTTTATCTACGCGTAACGCGATTTCTTCTGGGTTGGTTTACGTCTCACGCGAAACCCGGTAACTCGGAAGTAAATCTAAACTGGTTGAAAAACAATTGCCAAACAAAACCATGTTGTCCAAAACAGGTTTTTCGGAATTGACATTTGACGGAATCTTCAATGTCAAACCTGTGCAATTGTTCAATCATCTCAATTTGGAATTTATGGACAGTATATGAATTTATACTTATATGGTGGCCAGTAAGTGGACCAAACAGGGTTGGAGACCAAAGTGTCCCACCCACCCAAACCCGGGAATGTGGAGATTGCTCGGAAAATCACACCGGAACAATTTACTTTGATGTGAAAGCATATCTCCAACAGGTCTTGGGAACACCAACCTTGAATAAAGAGCCAAAGCGCGAAAAAGAATTGCTGCGTGAGTGATCGGCACCTTGTTTCATCTGTCATTCGTTTTGCAGAGGTTTTTACATGTCATGAAATCGGATTTGGCGAAACGGCGATTTTTATTTTGGAAGAAAAATTTTTGGACCTCGAATGAGGAATCACAGTTGAGAAAGGAAGACGAACATTCGACGGCGCGTATCACGATTCTTTATGTATGTATACGGATATACATGTTGAACTATGTATATGGGGTATTTGGTTTATACATACTGGTTTATAGATGGGAGGGTTTTGGGAGGATATGTATAGTACTATACTAGTACGCCAAGGAAACATGCCGAGTGGCCCGGTTGGAGCGAGCTTGGGAGGTTTGACGCCTCAGGCGGGGCAGATCCAAGAGGTCATGGCCATGTTAGGTAGCATGAGTGAGGGGCAGCTACAGACAGTGCAGCAGCATATGCAAGATCGTTTTGTAACTATGCAACAGAGAAGAGGGGTTCCAGAAGTGTTTGGTGATGGTCTTGGTAGGGCAGCTGATTCGTCGTTTGTGACTCCGCAGCCATTTGATGTTTTGCCTGGTTTTGGTGTTCAACAATCAACATCATGGAAATTCACAGCAATTGGATGTCTTCGCCAAAAGCGAAAAATGGTTGACACCGGCACCAACACCAGTAGGAACTTGGAAGACAAGAGAAGAAGAGGTGTTAGGTTGGGCTGGCTATTTGGATGAGTTGTCATCCTGGGCAGCTGGTGGAAGTTTAGAATTTTCTGTAGAAATCCAGCATAGTAGCCGTTGGCCCGGTCCTATCAGATGGAGTGCTCTCAGTGGAGCACAACAGGCAAGGTCTCGAAGGCTTATGTCCATCTTAAAAGCTGCGTTTCACGACAACCCCAGGTGTGTGGCGTTGGTGAACGCCTTCAGTGAGGGTGTGGCAGTACATGGAGTAGGATCTAGTGACAGAGTGACAGTGGCAGTAAACCAACAAGCAAACGGGTTTGAACTGCTTAGGCAACTTACTCTTGAATTTTCTCTGAGGTCAAGATCCGAAGCGCTCTCACTAAGGACGCAGATTGCAGGGAGATCCTTTGTCCTGGCGGCGACACAGACATCGCCGAGTTCCTTGGTTAGTGATACTATCAGAAGAATTAATTATGAAGCCGCAAGGTTCTCAAGGTTGCTAGGAACTCTCCCCATGCAGGTGGACACCACAGGACTGAAGCTGGCAGACTCAGACATGCTAGTTGTTCTGTTGAAAAGCCTGCCTGAAACAGTGAAGAATTATGTCCTCCACCACAGCGGCGCAGACAACTATGAGTCTTACCGGAACGCTGCGATGCGGTGGGAAGAGCAACAACGCCTGTTCAGCGATTTCGAGACAACAGGTAACAGCAAGAGAGTGAGCTCTCTGGAGGGGAATGTGGAACACCATTCCCTTGACGCCGAACTCGTCGATGCGGTAGAAGGCAGATGCGGGAAGTGTGGAAGCAGGAAACACACTGCAGCAGCTTGCACCGCAGACGTTAGCAAGATCCGATGCTTTCGATGTGGGAAGGCAGGACATGTCAGTTTCAATTGCCCTGAGAACAGAGAAGGTAAGGGAATTGTAAAATCTGACACTTGGGACAAGAAAGGTTCCAAAGGAAAAGGCTCTAAAGGTAGCAAAGGAAAAGGAAAGAAAGGCAAGTTGAATGAAGTTTCAGAGGATTGGACCGACTGGACTGCTGAGAGTTGGGACGATGATGACTATTGGTGGCATGACCAATGGCCGGAGAGCTGTGATGGTCAATGGGGAGTTTCGCAGACATGGTGGGACGATGGTTCTGGATGGTATTGCGACGGGTATGGGTATACCTGGCAACAGGGACCAGTCCAAAGTGCGGAACCGAGTGCAAGTCACGACAATAGGTCTGATGTCCAAAAGACTGGCAGTGTCGGCAGCATGATCATAAATCCTTTGTTGTTTGACATGACATGTGAAACCACTGGAGGTCTTAGGTTTGTGCATGAGCATGAGTTTGCTGACATGGAAACCGAAAATAGGCTTGTGGTTGATTGCAAAGACTTTGAAAGTGAACTGGCTGACACGGGTTGTGTGCTGGCAGGGAGCTGCGACAGCTGTACTCGTGAGTCAAAAGAAGATGAACTGGCTGACATGGGTTGTGTGCTGGCAAGGAGTTGCGACAGCTGTACTCATGAGTCAGAAGAGACACGGGTTGTGTGCTGGCAAGAGTTGCGACAGCTGTACTCTGAGTCACGGGTTGTGTGCTGGCAAGAGGTTGCGACAGCTGTACTCGTGAGTCAGAAGTAGTGAGAACTGAAGTGGCTGACATGGGTTGTGTGCTGGCAAAGAGTTGCGACAGCTGTACTCATGAGCCATGGTTTTGTGGTTTGAAGTTTGGAGATGAGGTTGGACTTGGTGATAGTTCCAACTTGGAGACACGTTTTGTTAATGACCTCAGCCGAGACTTGTGTGCCACTGTACCGATGAAAGTCGTTTTGGTGCGTGCACATGACTGGTTTGACGACCACAGTGAGGTTTCGGTTGAACAACAGATTGAACCTTATTTGAAGTTTTTGCGACCTCTGCTTTCACAGGTCGCTGACAACACCGATGCTTCTTGGTGGCTTCTTGACTCTGGTGCATCCACAAGTGTTTTGGCTGAGTCGAACTTGTCAGCCTTCAGGTCAGTGCTGCAGGACAGTGAGGGGTTAGGTGGCTACAAAGCTGCCAATGGATCCTCAGTCAACATGTCAGGCACTGCTGAGATTGGAGTACAGATGCACATGTCAGGCACATCAGGTGATGATTGGTGTTGGAAGAAAGCACGTTTGAATGTTTTGGTGGGTTCCCATCCGGCACAACATTTTGTCAATCACTTCATTGGCAGATTCGGGATGGAGATTCACACAAGGTCCGAAAGGTTTTGATTTGTTCCATGAAAAGCTTGGAATGCATTGCCTTGATGTTGCTTATTTTGCCAATTGTCCTTGGGTTCGTTTGTATCCAGATGTTGGTAGTAGTAGTGCATACAGGTCTGAATTGACTGTGAGTGATACTCGTGACTTTTCTGTCGCAGCTGTGTCTGGAGGAGACGACAGTGAACTGGCACGTCACCGGAGACAGGGACATATTCCATTCAATCCGAATTGCTTGGAGTGTGCCAAAGGTCGTTCTGTCTTTCAGCACAGAAGAGACAAAGGTGACAGGAAAGAGGTTTCCATTCAGGCCGATTTTGCATTCCTCAACACAACAGGTGAGATCGTTGCAGACGAACTCCCAGGTTCGGTGAAGATCCTTGTGTTAACTGAGATGATGTCGAGGTGCATTGGCTATGTGGTGGTTGGAGAAGATGTCGAAGCAGCCAGGAGACAGATTGTCGTATGGCTTCAACATTTTGGGTTGACTTCGAAGGCAGTCTCCATTGATGTCCACACCGATAGCGAGAGGGCCGTGGGAGAGATCATTGGAAATTCCACTGGTCGATACACGTTCGCTATTCGCAGAGCCGCGCCACAACAACATCGATCAATTGGGTCGGCTGAGCGAGCAGTTAGGGAATTAAAAGAATCCTTTTCTGTATTAAGAGCTGATCTGAATGCACAAGGGTTGGATGTCACGTTTTCACATGAGAATTTGGTTGATGTTTTGACGTATTTGGCTTTGTGCAACAACCATTTTTCAACATCGAAAGGTTCAGACAGAAGTCCATTGGAAATGGTTTCAGGAAGGAAGTTATCCAAACCAGTTTCGACTTTGTTTGGTGCTCAGGTTCTGGCCGAAATTCCTGATTCAATTCGTCAGCATTCACCACTTTCAACAAGGAATGTTGAGTGTACCTTCATTCACATGGGATTGGAACGAGGTCCAGTTGTGCAGGGTCTCATTCGTGTGGATGGCAAAGCTGAGTTGATGCGTTTTGTAGCTAGGAACATCAGGGCTATTTCACCTTTGAGATGGGATTTGAATTCGGGACAGGGTGTTTTGACGCAGTTTGACACTGGGACTGTAGGTAGTAGACCCTAAATTGTGAATGACAGTGGG